GGAGAGTGTAGCAGGGGAGATTGTGTGTCAGTTAGGGCCCTGGCACAGCATCCTTTCTGCCATATTCTACTGATCAAAGCGAGTCCCAAGACCAGGCCAGATCCATCTCTCAAGGGAGGTGTTGGAAAGAACTTGCAGCCATCTTTAATCCACCACAACCTCTCTGTACCTCAGTTTCCTCATCTACAAAATGAAGAGGACTGAGAAAGAAGAAAGACTCTGACATGGGAGGCTGCCTGGCACTCATAGCTGGGCCCTGCTATTCTCCTGTGAAGCATAAACAATCTCGTAGAACAACAACCTCACACAAGGTCACTCTGAGATTCATCATAAAGTGAGACAAAGCAAGGCCTCTGCATAATTTTGCCTAAGCCCAGACAAAACAAGGCCCCTGTGCCACCACAAAACACCCAACACCCGTCTCGGCCAAAACTAGTGATTGAGCAACTTTACCAATCATAACCCATCCTCATGTTCGTCTCCCTCCCTATAGACAAGATGGATGGAGACAGTAATCACCCCACTTCCTGACAGCCTCCAATCCAGTGGACCTACTTCCTTAGACCTCTCCAGTCACCTCATCAAAGCTCTAGTCCTATCAAGGGCTCTTTCTAACACCTTCTACTGAGACACTCTAAGTTCTCCTCCGTCACGAGTAAGAGGATTCAATGTGCTGAGTCATCTGATGCACTTGAATATTTGTTGTTGTTATCATTCAGTTATCATCCAGCAGAGACATGAACTCAATATTCTAAAAAGATTTCATCAAAATTATGAAGACTGAAAAGCATGGCCGGTTTCTCCTCAGTAACCCAGAACCCACATTCTCCAAGTACTCGCTGTGTAGAAAGTAGTTTGGAAGAGACAGGGGAAGAGAAGAGGATGATACACATGTGCTTGGTAATGTTTTCTATATTTGGAAAGAAACTCCACCCACCCGGATATCTCTGGGTGCTTAGCACACTTGGCTGGCTGGAAGGCATCAGTGGGGACTTTGAGAATGCCAGTACTAGTGTGCAGGACTTTCCAAGTTCTGGGAGGAGAGGGGGAATGGGCAAGGTTGGGAGTTAAAGGAAACTTCTACATGAAAGGTCACAAACTCAGATCACAATAGAGGCCATGCAGGTAACATAATGTGTGAAACACGCAGGTGTAGGGAAAACAGAAGCTCATGCTCAAGGATAAACAACAAACATACGGCCTCCCTATTGGGGAGCCATAGGGATTGGTAGAAGGAGCCCTGGTGGCACAATGGTTAAGCAGTTGGTTACCAACCAAAAGGTTGGTGGTTCGAACCTGCCCAGTGGCTCCTTGGGAGAAAGACCTGGCTATCAACTCCCATAAAAATTACAGCCTAGAAAACTCTATGGGGCAGTTCCATCACATGGGGTCACTATGAGTCGGAATCAACTGGATGGTACCTACCAACAACAACAGGGATTGGTGGGGCCTGTGGCAAACTGAAAAGAACAAGCCCTGCCTGAAGGAAGCTCCAACTGGTTGCTGCCATAAGCGCGGAGTGGGCACAGTGTTGCCTGATCTATTGATTTCTCCAAATAAGCTCCAAATATGGATTTTTAAGTGAAATCCCCCAATTTGTAAAAATTGCTAAGTGAATTATTTTTTAAACAGGGCAGGCCAAAAAAAAATAACTGCCTCCAGTCAATTCCAGCCCACTGGCCTTGAGTTGGGAACCTACTCTAGAAAAACCAAGGACGAGAGAGCAGATTAGTCAGGTGGAGCCCTCTGTAACTGGCTGAGGCTTGCCGACAAGGCAAAGAATGGGTTCCCAGAGAGTGCCAGGCTCACAGAGAGCACAGGCTGCCCACACAGAGGACCCTGAGGCTGGAGCGCTGGGCCTGCGTCATTTCACAACCTTGAATTTTCAGGGCAGTGATGCCTATATACCTTTAATGTCCAAAAGGCCTCCATTTTAATTGTTTTGATGAAGGAGTACACTTCCTTGCTGCTCTGCTACTGAAGCTGTGCCCATTGCCCAACTCCACAGTGACTCCTTTGGTGCCCCCTCTCTTTATGTCAGCTGTCACCTCTTCCTGCTGGTGGCTGGCAGCAGGCCGATGTACTGTGGCCCAGGAATGTCATCTTGCTTACCAACATTCTTGGTATGGAGCCAAGAGTGGGCCTCAAGGACCTTGCTGTGACTGGAAGCTACCTAAGACCTTGGCTGGAGCTGACCATGGAGCCCTTCCTGTCCTTGAGGGAGAAAGAACGAGGGGAAGGCCTGGTCTTCAAAATGAACATACCTTCCTTGTTTCTCTCTAGTCATTTGCCATCAAATTGATTCTAACTCATGGAAACGTCATGTGTGTCAGAGTATTACTGTGCTCCAAAGAGTTTTCAATGGCTGATTTTTCGGCAGAAGATGGCCAGGCCTCTCTTCCAAGGTATCTCTGGATAGACTTGAACATCCAACTTTTCAGTTGGCAGCTGAGGACGTTAACTGTTTGCACCACCCAAGGATTCCTTGTTTTTCCCTAGGAACAAGGAATGTTCACACAGGTACATGGAGACTTGTTAACAGACCATTTATCAGTTAGAGATTGTGCTTGCTACATGAACAGGACCCTGCTAGAGTGGCTTTAACAAGCAAGGACCAAGGAGCCAGAGATGGACAATGCAGGGCTCATATGGACCCCACTACCTCGCCGCTCCCATCTTTCATGTGCCCCTGTGGTCCTCATGGTCACAGGATGGCTGCTGGACTTCCAGGTATCACATCTGAGGTTTGGCAGTAAGAAGGGGGTAAGACAAAAAGCAATGCAGCTGAGTCTATCCCTTTTTATTAGAAAAACTGCAGTTTTCCCAGATGTCCTACCCAGCCAACTTCCACCTCATCTCATTGCTGCCCAAAACAAAATCAGGGTTTGTCAGTAAGGACAAAGGGGAGACTGGCTATTGGAGAGGAGACGAACAGTTGAGTGATTGAGGATCCCAGACCCAGCTAGACTGACCCTTCTCCAGTCTGCAGACATGGGGTGGGCATCAAATTTTCCATGGCCCCTCAGAGACTTGGGGGGAGGGAGGAATCCTGCTCCATCCCCCAATCTCTTTCCCATGTCTTTGTTTAGAGGCACCAAAGTCAGTCATTTTAAGTCTACTGTGGGCTGGGCCTGGAACAGAGTGAAGGCACAGAACAATGAAAATGATGGTTGGTCAAGGCTGCTTCTTCCTCCCACAGCTCACCAAGGGCAGTGAGGTCACGTGGGCCAGGGGGCCAGGGCTCCAAGTGTAGACGGCCCAAGGCTCAGCCTCTGCCTGATTCCCTGAGTGCCCAGCACCTGGAACAGGGCCTGGCACAGAACAGGTGCTTGACACCCACACTTGTCGGGTGCCAGCAGTGGGAGCATGTTCACAGGGCCGGAGAGGGGTGGGAAGGCTGGACACAGAAGAGGGATGGGGCTCTTCTTTCCATTAGGCCCTTGTTTATAACTTGGGTAAGAATAAAGGAAACCATCCTCCCCTCTGGGCTGTGGTCCAGGTGTTATTATTCTGTTACACAGACGACAGAGTGGAGGCTCAGAGAGGTCAAGGCCCCCAGGTTCTGGCAGGCAGAAATAGGAAAAAGTCAGGACTCTCTGGCCTCAAATTCAGTCTTAATTCAGGAGAAATTCTTATTTTGTAAGAAAATCACACGCTTACACACTGAGATTCCAGAAAGCAGGCTCTGGCCTCTCTAATCCTTCTCCTAATGGACATCAGTTACAAAGGGCAAGGGCCCATCTCACTGGTTCTAATGAAGGGGGGCAGTGACCCTATCACCCCACCCCCATCTCCTAGGCCTGGTCTCCTAACAGGGTGATGCCACGGTCTCTCCTGGGTAGAGCAGGGCTGGCAACAGGTGGGCACCAGACCCCTCTGAGACACCTGGAACATGTCTTGATTCCTCAAAGGGGTCTGCTCTGGGGGAGGCAAAGGGTTTGGCCCGGCTCCTCCTGTGTGAGCCAAACCAGACAAGTGTCCTCAGCCAGTCCCTCCGTCTCTGGGGCCAGAAGCCACTGCTATCTTTGGGGTATCTTTCTCCCTACTCTGCCCCACTGCTGCCCTGTGCTTTCCTCCTACCCCTGGCTCAGCCCCAGAGGATGGGTGGTCACATCCACGCCTGCAGCTCCCTGCCCCAGAGGGGTGCAAGAATGGGGGTGGAAGTGACACTGCTCCTACAGGGCAGCCCAGCTCCCAACAGGGCTTTGGAATGAACCTCAAAATGCTGTTACAAGGACTCAAGCTGCGTTGACTCATGTACCACCCTGTGCCAGCCCCGGAGTGCCCTACGCTCTCCTTCTTTCCCACCAAATTATCACTGACCTTTAGGGCAGACCTCAGATTCTACCTGTTTTATGAAGCCTTGCCTGCCCTCATCCCACCTACTGCTTCCCCTCTGCCCCACGACACCTTATACAGGCTCTACTCGAGCATGTATTACATTGCATTTTATTTGCTTATTTCCCATCTAGCTTACTCCCTAGACTCCCCCAGGGCAAGAGCATGATGTCGTGCATTTTTATTCCCCGCCACCCCTCCCCCCCCCACCAGCCTGGGGCACTGAGGTACGGGAAGCGCTTGGGTGAACAAATGTCTGGGCAAGCAAGTGAACGGATGGATGCAGGAGGTGTGGTGAGGTGCTGAAACCCTGCAACAAAGCCTGCCCATGTGTAGGAAGAGGGGGTGCGAGGCTCAGAAGAGACCTATACATGCAGGCTCAGTGATATCCATCCATGTCCAACAGCACTCCTGGAGTACAGACCACGGCAGCCACGCAGTCATGCCAAGTGGCTTCACCTAGCTGTGCCTTGCTGGCCCTCTAGAGTGGCTGTGAGGCCGAGGAGAGACTGCAGAGCACTGCCATGGGCTGGGGGTGCATCCTTAGCCGGCATGAGACCTGCTGCTTCCTGGCTGTGTGTGAAGCAAGGGGAGGAAAGTGTGCAGCAGAAGGGGGGAAGGGCCATGTGGCTGTGCATTGAGGCCTGGGACCAAGGGTGAGAGTGACTGAAGGCCACGGCCAGCTCTCAGGCTACTTGGGGCTGCAGGGCCTTCTGGAGCAGGCACTCATCCGCCACCTCATGTGGGAGTGTCACCACCAAGCCCTTGTTCTCTTGCATCGTCTGGCAGATGATCTCGTAGGCCTTCCGATTTCCAGACCAGCAGCGCCGGGCCACCTAACCACATGGCCATGTTGGGGGAGAGAGAGAGTGGAGCAGCAGTTGGTGTCAGCATCACTTCCCAGCAAGACACCTGGACACTGCAGTTAGGTCCCAAACACCCTGCCCTCCTCCACTTCCAGGACCCTCTGTGGATATCCGTGGGGCCAGCAGTCTTTTGTACCTGCCCCTACCCCCAGCTCAGATGTCCCCCTCTATTGCCTGGACTTTAAACTCAACTCAGATCTAAAACTGAGCCATCATTCCCCCCAGCCCAAACTCCCCCACCTCCCCACCTGCAAGAATGACAGCACCTCTTCCAGGTGCATCAGGCCCAACCAAGGAGTCATTCTCCACAATCTTCTCCATCCACATGGAATCCACTTCCACCTGTCGGTCTGCCTTCAAAATCTCCCTCCAATCACTTCTTTTTCTCTATCGCCGTCACTGGGGTCCAGTCATCATCATCTCTTCAATGGAGGATGGACATAGCCTTCCCCATCCCCAGATCTCCTTGCTATCACCCCTAAGCACACCTCTCTTCACCTCCTCCCCCACCCACCAGTCTCCACACCACAACCAGGGATCTCCTAGAGGGAAAATTCGACCATGGCTCTCCTGATTCTCATGGCCTGTACTGCCTATCGGGTGAAGGTGACCTCACCACACGTGAAGCCCTGTGCCATTTGCTTGAGGTCAACCTCTTCAACACTCCACTCACCCTCTAGGCCCCAGCCTGGAGGGCCCTTCTGTCATCAGACACCAAGCTCGCTCTCACCTCTGGAGCCTTGCTCTTGGTTGGATCCCCAAGCCCCCAACCCTCCACTTCGCCAGCATCTACCATCAGCCCTCCCATTTGTGATGCTTCCCCTTCTCCATTGCCCATAATGTGGTCATAGAGAGAAACAAACCCCCCACCACCACACCACCAACCCACCCTGCAACGAGAGCACTCTGTACAACAGCAAAGGTGAACTACAGGTGTCAACCAAGGGCCATCATCTCTTAAGAGTCTGCATTCTTCTGACCCTAGTACAATGGGACCTTGTACTAGGTGGAAAGAGAACTCTTTACTATGGCAGCCCTCAATACAGCAGTAGATGGGAGGGCTGGGGCTGCCAGGGGCCAGGCTGTGTGGACAGAAGATGGCCTCAAGGATCAGGCCTGACACAGGGAGACCAAAAGGGGGCAATTGGATGAGGAGGGCAGCCCTGGCAGTGGGGGTAAGGAGCTAGAGAGGAAAGACATGGATAAGTGGGAAGGGCAGGACTCGCTCCTGAAGGTTCCCATGGGGAGGAAAAGGCAGTGCTCTGTCTCAGGTTTGCAGTGTGAGGAGGCAGAGCTGCAGATAGAAATGAAAAGGGAGGTGACTCACCCCATTGGAGACATCCCAGCTGAGCATCGCCTTGGCTCTCTGCTCAGCTTCTTTGGTCCCGTCCAGCACAAGGCCAAACCCCCCATTGATCACCTCACCCCTGCAAGAGAAGCAACCCCACATACAGTTGAATAGGTATCTCATGCTGAGGTACAGAGTGTCGGTCTCCTCGGCAGCCTGGTGCTCTTCCCACACTCTACTTCTGAATGTAGGAGGCGCTCGGGGGTCGGTGTGCTGGAGGCCTACAGAGGCTGCCACGTGTTCAGTTCTCTGCCCATTTGTGCCTTAGGCTTTTACACTCTGACCCCTCACTGTGTGAAGCCTGCCTTGACCTCCTGAGTGTGACATACCCCCTCTGCTTGGAGTTTACCACCTGTTTCCCTAGAAACTTCTTTGCACTTAAAAGTATACTTCATTGGGTGTGTCTTGGACTACTGAATGCCATTGTCATTATTTCTGATTTTATGTTCATTATTTTTACCTTCCTTATTCCTTCTTTCTACTTTCCTTAGATTTATTATGTGGTCTTTGTAATGACTTGATTTGAAGGCTGAGTTCCTTTATTTTCAATATTTCTTGTTTGCTAATGAATGTATTTCTCTGAGTATTGTTTTGACTACATCCAACAGATTTGTTCTTGTTCTCGCTCCGTTCTTAACAGATGTAATTTGAATCTTACTTAAACATGCTAGTGCTATTTTAGGGGCCCTAGTGGCGCAGTGGTTAACAGCTATGGCTGCTAACCAAAAGATGGCAGAGTGGTTAAATAGCCTGAGCTTTTTGGGGCCCTGGTAGCGCAGTGGTTAAAAGCTAGGCTGCTAACCAAAAGGTTGGCAGTTCAAATCCACCAGCTGCTCTTTAGAAACCCTATGGGGGCAGTTCTACTCTGTCCTATAGGGTGGTGATGAGTCGGAAGCAACCCGACGGCAACGGGTTTTAGTGCTATTTTACTTTCTGGGCATGTTTGCGCTGTGGCTCTCATCCATCAATGCCTGTGAGTGCCCTCTCTTTCCTGAAGCCCCTGGGTCTCTGTCCTCTTCCTCGGAAGTCATTACCAAGTTTGACAAGTGCTCCAAGACATTGTTTAGTGAGAAAAAAAGTCAGCATCCAGGTAAACATAGTGGGTTAAATGCATGCATTTATCCCTGCTCCCTCCCAAGATTCCACTAAAATGACTATAACCAAATTTTTTACTTTTATTTTGTAACCGAAATTTTTAACCCACAAAGACAAAGAGAAACGGAGAGGAGAATCAGCAATGCAATTTTGGAAGCTGGAGAGCAGACACAAGGAAGATGATACACGAGTCAACTACGGAGAAGGCCCAAGACAAACCCCTTTGCTGCCTCCCAGGGACCAGCATACCTCAGCCACTGGTGGCACAAGTATCTCTGGAAGTGGGAGAGACAGAGCAGAGAAACTGGTGGAAGCCAGCTTAACCCACCATGAGTCCCAGATGCCTTGCCCTGTAAAAAGCTGCCAAGAGGTTGCCTGTGCTAAGCCCACAGGCCACCAGAGGCGGACCCCTAGCACGCTGACTCAGGGCCTCTGCATCTAGGTACAAGGACAGAGGCCCGTGAAGAAGAGACTGTCAGAGAGTGACCCTGACTCCCACTCTGCTGCCAGGCAGCCCCTGATGCAAAGGTCCCACGGAACACACAGGGTCCCAGTTAACTGAGTGGCACCCCTCCAAACATAAGCCGACAGCAAGGACCACTGGACAGACAGCCAAAGATAGAGCCCAAAATAAGGCATCAGAAAGAGGGGCTCCGAGGAGGCTGAGGCAACCAACTGAGGGAGCAGAAGGGAACAGCTGCCATTGCTGGTCTCAGAAAGTAAGAGCACCAAGACAGGGAGCCAGCAGACAACAGAAGAAAAGGGGAAAAAACTAGAAATAGCACTATAAGCATGTAACTTAGAGATGTGGATTTAAGTACAACAACAAAAAAATGTAGCTAAAGAGTTGAAAGTGATTTCCCCTTAGAGTAGGAATGGCTAAGGACAGATTTTTTTCCTGCTGGTTTTTTAAATAAGCTTTAGAGAAGTATCTGACTTCTTAAGTTATATACACATGAAATTTATGGACTCCAGTGTGAATTTGAAGCACTGCCCAAAAGAGTCCTCAAGAAAAGCAGGATAAAGGGTGTTAGTTCTGGCATCTCGCCTGCTTGTGTCCCTTTTCACAGGACCGGGTGGGTAGTTCTGGGGGTGGTCGCAACTTGGGAATTTGCAGGGGCATTCCTGAGAGATGGTGGGAGTTCTCTTGGGGAGCCCCTGCCTGAGCTAGTCCTGCTGTCCTCTGTCCCAGGCCCTCATGTCACAGCCTCTCTCTCAGGCCTGCTCTGCCTCTTCTTGCCCTCTATTATCCTAAGCACTGGGGTGGTACATCCTAGGAGACAATCTGGGGGCAGACCTCAGCTCCACCACCAGCCCTGTGGCAGGTTACTTAACAGCGTTAGGGCCACTCTCTTATCTCTTAATCAAGGGCAGAGATACCAGATACCCAATAACCAGTCGTTCGTCCTGGCTTTCTCCAGCCTGCTTATTGGAAAGGACATGTGGGTGGGTCATATTCTCCACTAATCAAAACCACCTGACTGGGCTGCAGCCCTGAGTTCTGAGCCAGTCCATGCGCATACTCTGGGAAGCTTGGCCACTAACGGAAGGCTCCAAGGCCAAGGGACTGCACTATCTGGCCAAAGCATGCTCAGAGGTCACTTAAGAGGCAGTCACTGGAGCCAGCCTGGGAGCTGTCCTCCTTCCCAGTGCGCAGTGACCCCAGCTGCTCCAGGTAGCCAGAAGCCAGCATTTCCCCCACCTTAGGGTGGGCCCTTTCAGGGCAGCTCCTGAGAGGTTACAGGGCTTGCATTCCAGGTGAGCTTCTTTGGTTCGAATCCTATCCCCAGGGCTTGCTCGCTCTGTGACCTTGGGAAAAGCACTTGATCTTTCTGTGCCTCGGTTTCCTCATCTGTGAAATGTACTTTCCTCCTAAGATTAGGTGAGATAATGGATTCAAAGAGTTCAGCAAATGCTTGGCATATGGTCAGTGTTCAGAAAAAACCAAACTCTTTGCCAGTGTGTTGATTCTGATTCTTGGCGACCCCATGTGTGACAGAGTAGAACTGCTTCATAGGGTTTTCTTGGCTGCAATCTTTACAGAAGCAGATCGCCAGGCCTTTCTTCGTGGTGCCGCTGAGAGGCATTGAACCATCAACCTTTCAATTAGTCAAAACCAAAACCAAACCCATTGCCGTCAGGTCGATTTTGGTTAGCAGTCGAGCACAAACCGTTTGCACCACCCAGGGACCTTTGCGCATTCAAAGAGTTTAGCAGATGCTTGACATATGGTCAGTGTTCAGTAAATGTTAGCAATTCATTATTCTTAGCAGTACATCTTCATGATGGAACTGTAAATGCCAGCCGGAGCCTCCAACTAGAGCCTCTCATAGGCCTCCATCCCCTCATCTTGCAGATTGGAACCAGCCTGTGAGGAGCAGAGGCGTGGGTAAGTCGGGGACAGAGGTGAGGCCAGAGCCTGGGAATCCCGGCTCCTGGCTCCGGCTGCCTGGGAAGCCACTGCTTTCTCAAGTGAGGCTATGAGATTTGGAATAAAAAGACCTTGGCCAGGAAAGCACTAGGAAAATTCCATGATAAAATATCTGTGAAATCAACTTGAAAACTGAAATGAAAATGGTGTTGCAGTTTATACTGAATACATATCCACAACAGGACTTAGTCTCCTGGTTGATGGACGAGACCAAAGAGATATACTGGCTTGGTCAAGATCCTTCCCTACATACCCTCCCACTGATTACCAGGTCACATGAAGAGCACATTTCCAGCAAAGCCATTAGCAGAAGTGGTAGAGGCTGTGTGGTGGGGCTGGTAGGCCCCAGGACTTCAGCTGCCCAAGCCTGGCCCTGCCCTTCAAGGCTTCCACATCAGTCCACCCCCAACCCCCACCATTCTCCAAAACCATCTTACCAGCCCACGCCCCCTCCGTTGTGAAGTGCTACCCAGGTGGCTCCTCGAAAGGCATCTCCCACGAAGTTCTGCACAGCCATGTCTGTAGAAACAGAAGCCACCCCCATTATTCCCTGAATGAGATGGGCCCGGGGGCCAGCCAGGCTTGGGCCAGAGGCAAAAATGGGGACCTGCAGTCCTCCATCTCTGCTCAGTCCTGGAAGGCAGAGCAACGACTGGGCAAGTAGGTGGCTGTTGTTGTGTGCTGTCAAGTGGATTCCAACTCATAGTGACCCTACATGACAGAGTAGAACTGCCCCATAGGGTTTCCTAGGCTGTAATCTTTATGGGAGCAGAGCGCCAAGTCTTTTCTCCCAAGAAGCCACTTTAAAATGTTTAAAGAAAAAAAAACTGTCAACACATAATTCTATAGCTAGTGAAAATATCCTTTGAAAATGAGGGCAACGTAAAAACTTTCTCTGACAAACAAAAACTGAGGAAATGCATTGTCAGCAGACCTACAAGAAATGTGTAAGGAAGTTTTCAGGCAGCAGGAATATGATATTAGATGTAAATGTGGATCTACATAAAGAAATGAAGAACATTTGAAATGGAATAAATGAAATTAAAATAAAATTTAAAAACATTTTTTCATATTTTAATTGCTCTAAAAATGACTGTCTAAAGCAAAAATGTTAGCAATGTACTGTGTTTATAGCACATATAAAAGTAAAATATATGAAAATAACACAGAGGATAGGAAGGAAGAATTGAGACTATATTGTTATAAGCTCATAATACTATATAAGAAGTACTATAAAGCTATTTGAAGGTGCACTCAGATTATTTGAAAACGTACATTGTAAACACTAGAATGACTGCCATAATTTGTTTTAAAAAGAGGTACAAATTACAACTCAATAGAGAAGATGAAATTGAATCATAAAAAATGCCCAATTAATCCAACAGAAGGCAGAAAAAGAGGAAAACATAAAAAAAAAGTGAACAAATAGCAAACAGCTAGCAAGATGGTATATTTTACTCCAACCATATCAATAATCACTTCAAATGTGTATGGTCTGAACACATCGGTTGAAAGGCAGAGCTTGTTAGATTTGATGTAAATAAAAAAAAGCAAGATCTGACAATAATGACAACATGCCATCTACATGAATAGCTACTTTAAAAATAAAGACATAGGCCAAAAGTAAAACACTAACAAAAGAAAGTTGGAGCAGCTATGTGGTAGGCTGAATAATAGCCCCCAAAGACACGCAGGTCCTAATCCCTGGAACCTATGACTATTACCTTTTATGGCAAAAGGGACTTTGCAGATGTGATTAAGTTAAGGATTTTGAGATGGGAAGATTATGCTAGATTATCCAGGTGGACCCTAATGCAATTACAAATGTCCTTATAAAAGGAAAGCAGAGGGAGGTTTGACTACCCAAAAGAATAAGGCCATGTAACAGAAGCAACAGGAAGCAGAAAGAAGCAGAGTCAGAGAAAGAAGATGTTATGCCCCTGGCTTGGAAGATGGAGAAAGGGGCCATGAGCCAAGAAATGCAGCTCTGGAATCTGGGAAAGGAAAGGAAGTGGATTCTCCCCTAGAGCCTCCTGGGGGAGCATGACCCTGTCAATATCCTGACTTTAGCCCACCAAAGCTTATTTCAGATTTCTGACCTTCATAACTGTAGCAAAACAAATCTGTGTTGTTTGAAGTCACTAAATTCGTGGTAATTTTTTACAGCAGCCATAGGAAATGAACACAAGCCTTATTAATACTAGATAAAGTAGATTTCAGAACAATGGATATTACTAGGGATAAAGAGGAACATTACATAACAATAAAGAGGACAATTTTCCAAGAAGACATAGTAACGCTAAATGAGTATGTACCTAATAACAGAGCTTCAAAATAGGAGCCAAAATGGATAAAACTGAAAGGAGAAATAGAAAAATCCACAAAGACAGTTGGAGACTTTAACACTCTTCTTTCAGTAATTGGTAGGACAAGCAGGCAGAAAATCAGTAAGAATCGAGATTACCTAAATACCACTATCAATCAACTTGGCCAAATTGACACTTACAGACACTTGACCAAATAACCAGTTGACACTCCACCAAATAGTAACAGCAGAATACATATTCTTCTCAACTGCATATAGAACATTCACCAAGCCAGATCATATTCCGGGCCACAAAACAAACTTAAACTTAAAAGACTATAAATCAAACAAAGTAAGTTCTCAGACCACACGGAATTAAACCAGAAAAGGTAATAAAAGATATCTGGAAAACCCCCCCAAAACTGGGAAATTAAGACACACTTCTAAATAACTCATGAGTGAAAGAGGAAGCCTCAAAGGACATTAAAAATGTTTTGAACTGAATGAAAATGATAATACAACATATTAAAAAATATGGAATGCAGCTAAAGCAGTGCTTAGAGGGAAATTTATAACATTTAAGGCTTATATTAGAAAAGTTTCAAATCAATAACTTCAACTTCCACCTTAAGACATCAGAGAAAGAAGAACAAATTAAACCCAAAGCAGGAAGAAGGAAGGAAATTCTAAAGATTAGAGCAGAAACCAATGGATTCGAAAACAGAAAAGCAACAGGAAAAAAAATCAATGAAACTAAAAGTTTCGAGGCGTGGTCAACATGGCGGACTTGTTAGATGCTTCCTATATCCCTCTTACAACAAAGACCTGGAAAAACAAGTGATTTGATTCTATGTGAACATCTGGCAGCCCTGAACAAGGCAAGGTTAAGAAATCCATCTGTGTCATACCGGAGAGTAAGACCGTTTGGAAGAGGTGAGGAGCGCTAGAGCCGTGACGGCGAAACTGCAGAGACACAGCCATGCCGGGCCGCAGTGAAGCAGGCAAACAGCTGTGCTGTGCACACGCTCGAGAAGCAGTTTCTACATCGAGAGAGACCCGGCAGCAGAGATTCTGCTTGGACACTCTGAACCAGTGAAGAGCAGCTCCCAAGAGGCTAGGATAAGTACATGTGCGCACCCTTTCACGGAGATTTAAAAAAAAAAAAAGCCCATTTGGGAAAAACCTCTCTCCCTTTTACCTCCTACCTCTGCGCTCTGCACAAGATTTGGGAAAAACCTCCCTTCCTTTTACCTCCTCCCTCCCAGCTCTGCACCAGGAGTCCACTGAGCTGGAAGTAGATCCCAAAAGGTGCCCTGACCCATTCTCCTGGCCTTGGAGAGGGAACAAATAAGGTGCTGACTCCCCTAGGCCAGGAACACAGGGTCGGCTCAGCTCCTTTGCTGGCCATGGAAATCAGAGGTCTGCAGACACTGAGTGCCATACACCCCTGTATAGACTTGTGGGGACACATCTCAACAGCGTTAGCCCTCACTACCACAGTACAACAGGGCAAACATCTGAAGCTTAACTTCAACTGTTTCAGCTGTGAATGGGCAGATCTGTGATCCTCGAAACAGCACTGCCCCTCAAGTAGGCACTTTTATCGATCTGCTGCTGGGTCTTGAGGACTGCTGGTAGCTCCTAAAGTGCCTAGTCACCTGCTACAGGAGTTCAAGAAAAAGTGGTGCCCTCGAGTCTTTGCAGCCAACATAGTGGGGAGCTCTTAGACTGGCTGCAAAACTCACCTACCTATTCACCCTAGATAGGGACACGCTCTCCTTTCAGACTCTCAGGGGCAGCCGTCAGCCCCCTGCCTGGCTCAGCACGTGATCCCCTACCGCAGCCAGAGTCCAGTGCCTGCACCAATCACCCATGCCTCTCTAGGACTGGGGGTGAGAGCCTGCATCACACACTTGGTGACCGACTGCCTGCACACCCGAGCTGATCCCATATAAGAAATTTTAATGGACTCCGGCATGCACATACTTAGTTACAGAACTAACTACCTGGTGACAGGACATTAGAGATCAAAAGGTGTCAAAAATCAAACTGGTGCACACGAGCAGCTTATTTGGGCATATCAAAACAAGACAAAATAAGAAGCTAGGTCTCACTAAGCAAACACAAAAGAAAATTATAATAAATTATTGATGGCTCGGAGACAACAGTCAATATCAAGCCACATAAAGAGGCAGTCC